TATTCACACTTTCGATTTTGTTGTTTTGAGATTTCTCATCGAATCCTCTATCTTAAGGGTTCGGAACTTTCGGCTTTTCAGTTTTAGGCTTTTTGCTTTGAGATTTGAGGGCTTTGGAACTTTGCTATGCATCTATGCCAGTTAGGGCATCAAATTTTTTTCTTTTTTTTTTTTGTTTAAATTTCAGGCTTTGTATATTTTATGGTTTCTCAATTTACATTTGACAATTAGGTTATTAAAGAGTTATACAAATTTGAGGGCTTTACAAATTTGTTGTACATGGAAAAAATTTTAGTTAGGGTTTTTTCTTTTGGCTGTTGTAAGCTTGTAACAGCTATAATTTTAATACATGCAGCATGTTGTTATTGTTGTTTTTGTTGTTGTATGTCTGTGGTAGCCAGTGGGAACTGGGGATTGGGGATAAATGGTGATTGTTGAACATGAAATAGTTGTTATTGCTACTGTAACGGTTGTACTTGTAATACATTATTTTTGCCCTGCATAATGTGGTTTAATTGGTTCATTAGATGGAGGATTCAAACACCATCCCATAACAACAGTGGCATCCGAAAGTGTCTTCAGCAATAGTGGTAGAATTCTAGATCAATATCGAAGTGTACTAAAACATGACATTGTTGAGGCTTTGATTTGTACAAAAGATTGGTTGTATGGCGATCAGGGTGCAATATCATTCAACCCTTACTTAAATTAATATATTCTACCATAAAAGTATTTAATCAATGTTTATATTTATATTTGTTACAGTGTTACATGAGCCTGAACTTGAAGCTATGACGGAGGATATTCTAAATTTAACAGTTGAGCAAGTTCAGGGAGAAGCTGGAGATAATTCTGTTATTACAGGGGAGTTCGTAAAGACAATTAAGCGAACTATAATTTGAATATCTGTTGCTTGTTGCACCTCCCACTGTTTATGACTTTATGTTATTTTCTTGTGGCTTATGTTGTTTGCACTTATGCTTGGATGATTTTTGTTATGGTATTTTTGTTGTTGTTTCTTGTTGTTAGCGCCTTTGACTCTTTGAGGTTTTTCATTTTCTTGAACTTTGTTAGTCTGTTATTGCTTTCCCGAACTATGTGAATGTGATGGCTGCTGAGTGCTGACCTGCTGTAACTGTAATGATATTATTGTTATCATGTTGGCTAGTTGGCTTGTCTCTATGGGCTGTGGGCTGTGGGCAGTGGCCTGTGGTCGATGGACTGTTAATAAAGCTTAAGCTATGATGAGAAACCCTCTAAATTGAAAGTGAGAGCGGTTGGGGGTATATCTAATAGACTATTGCAACCAAATGGCTTTGATGAAGAGCAAATACTCTATAACTCTATTAAGCTAAATGCAAAGTGCAAATTGTTGAATACCGCCTTGGATGATAATAGTCTAATTGTTGAATGAGTTTGAGGGTTTACCTGAGCTATTTATTGAAGCTTTTTAATTGCACTGTCTCATGAATCAAAATTAAGAATTATGCATGGTTAAGATTTTTTAAGCTTGTAAGACATTTTGACTTTTGCAGTGAATTCAACTTGAAGAGTGAAGATTCTGAATTTGGGCTTCTAACTTGTAATTTGAGCTTGTAATTTTAAATTATAGAGTTTGTAAGTTGTAATTTATGTTATGTAATTTAGTATTTGTAATGTATTGTGTTATGCATTATGTAAAAAAAAAAAATTTTGAGCTTGTATTTAATTTTTTACCACTTGCCAATTATTGGTTAAGAATATATAGAAGTGTTTTGTTATGCAAATCTGCCATCAAGATGCAAAAAAAAAAAAAAAAACTTGAAGCTCTTTTATTGCATTCTAGGTCGTGTCGGGTTGACCCGAACTTGAACCAGTTCGGGTTCGTAAAAATGACCCGCCAAATCTAAGCGTTTCACAGCCTCAAATGTGAATTCCTTGACCAATTAAATTAGGTGATTAGAGGAGGGTAGTTGGTGAGTCATAGTGGTTGAGAAGTAAAATTAGCAGCTAATGGATAATTCATCATTATCCACTAAAGGGTTGTTTGGTTGGCTAAAAAAAGAATATTGGGTAAGAAGAATAAAGTATAAAAGAAGTACTTTGAAGTTATTTGGATGAATGTAAAGTAAATACAAGTGAATATTTTTTTGTTTGATTAGAACTAATGAATGTAGTGTAAAGTCCAAAAATGGTGGCGGCCTGTGGTGGTGGTGGCTAGAGGCGGCTGGCAGCGGTGAGTAGCAGTGGTGGTGGCCGGCGGAGGCCGATAATGGGTAGCGGAGGTGTGGTCTACGGTCAAGCAAGCTTACTTGTGGTGTAAACAGTTCTCGCTCAAAACTATGCTAGTTTGGTTTGACTTCAAAAATGAATTAAAATGACTTACACTGCATTTACTTTACTTTGCATTCATTTTCCATCCAACCAAATACCAATATTTTCAAAAGCTCTGCATTTTAAATACTTTACACCACTTTATATTTCAACCAAACAATCCCTTAAAGAAACAATACCTCAAGTTTAATAAATGGGGAAACACCTCCCCACCAAAGTTCAATGCTGATGAAAAGAGTCGGATCAAGAAATCTCAAAACCACTCTAATACCAATTTCATGCAGCACAAAAAAAAGTATAATTGAAGATATGGTATGAGGGATTTCATCAAAAACTATGGGGACTCACAAACACATACATCAAGATTCAAGATAGCAGGCACACAAAGGGGACTCACTTGCCATTTACATAGATGAGTTGTTCACTCAAAGAACAGGAATTTCTAACTCAACTCAAAAAAATAAGACATATGCCCACTAAACATCAACTTAAAAGAGTTGGTTGGTGGAGCTAGTTGGAGGTTGGCAACCTTAATCAATTACGGTGGTTGTTGGGTGACAATTGGTGATTAGAAAGTACAATTAATGCCTAATGAATACTTAATCAAAATAGCAAATTAAAATCTACACCTCCGAGTCGTTCACCACAACAGCAACATCAAGTCTTTATTCCACTGTGTGGAGTCAACTACATGAATCATTTTTCTCTATTATGTCCTATATAGAGTCAAATCATTATTTAAATTTAATAAAAAAACTCATTTCTAATACTTTCTTACCAAGTATTTTTAGGTATACCTCTACCTTTCTTAACATAGGTCAGATCTAATATATCTACTCTCCTAACCGAGTCATCAAAAGGCCAACGTTTTATGTGACCAAACTAACTAAGGCAACTCTCTCTAATCGTATATGCCATTGGAGCTACTTGAACTTTTTAATGTATATACTCGTTTTACATTTTGTCTCTGTGTGTAAAATCACTCATCAACCTGAGCATCCTCATCTATGCAACACTTAACTTAATTTTTTTTGCTTCTCTTTTAAGCCAACATTCTACGCCATAAATCATTGCAGGTCTCACCACCATCTTATAGAATTTTTGGGGTACTTTTATATCACAAAAGAGGCTCGATATATTCCTCCACTTAACCATCCAACTTGAAATCTACTAATAATATCTCCATCTATTTCACAATCGCTTTGAACAATATACCCGATATATCTTAAACGTAAACTCTTTTTAATAACTTGATCACTCATTAGATCTATCACTATTAAAATTACACTCCATGTATTCAATTTTAGATCTATTCAAATAAAAACCATTAGATCTAAAGTTGATGGCCATAATTAAATATTTCCTTTAACTCTCTCTCTAGTCTTTCCATCAGTAAAAAGCATACACCATAGCACATCCTCTTGCAAATTTCTAATAAGAATATCCATGACTAAAGCAAAAAGACATGGGCTTAAAGATGAACCTTGATGTAATCCAACTGAATCAGGAAAATAGTTGATCAAACCACGTTGTGTTTAAACATAAGTAACAGCTGATGTATACATATCATTAATGACTTGAATATAAGCATAATTAACTCCTTTTTTTCTAGAACTCTCAAGAGCACTTTTCTTGAAACTTCATCGTGTGTTTTCTCTAAATCAATAAATATCGTATGTAGATCCTCCTTTCTCTCTCTATACTTCTCAATCAAATCTCTCAACAAATGTATAGCTTCCATAATAGACCTGCCCAGTATGAATCCAAATTGATTTTGAGAAACATTAGTATCACATTGTAGCATCGCCTTTATTCTTAAAATTAGGAACTGACGCATTGCTTCTTCACTCATATAGCATTTTTTTTGCTTCAAAATAATATTAAAAAGTTTAGTATGCCAAGAAATCCCTTGACGTCCTAAGCATTTTCATACCTCTACTGGGATATCATAAGGTTCCTATGTTTTTCCACACTTCATTTTCTTTAATAACTCTCCAACTTTAGTTTTACTTATACGACTATAAAAATAAAAATCTCAATTTTTATTTATGGTGCTAAGGTCACTAAAGTCAATCGTATTCTCATAATCTTTATTGAAAAAAATATTCTTTGCATCACAAATTATTCTCTTAGACTCCCTACATGCCCATTTATATTTTTCTCAATTTTCTGAGCATTTACAAATAAACCAAATTTTATAACAAAGCTTCTTTCTTTTTTCTTAGCATTTACACTATATGTCTCAAATAGAAACAAAATTGTAGTAATAAAAGCCATATAAGCCCACTCATTCAACTTCCAATGAAATTTCACGTTAGAAACATCACAATCAAAAGCCATTTATAAGGTATGAAATTTTAGAACACCCTCTGCTGTAAGTATTCTGATTAAGGCTTGCAAAAGCAGAAACATAACGGATAGCTAGAATATATTAAATGGTGCTCTCTAAATTCTGAAGTGAGTGTTGAATATTTTACTTTAGCAGCATCAACAGACTTCTTAGGGAAATGACATCATTATGTAATTTATTATTTCAGCAAAAACTACCCTGCAACTCCAAGTCATTAGAAATCAATACAATGAAACCTGCTAAAGTAGCATCACAGTTAAAATCGCAACCTTAAGATGAAGTGCAAAGAAAAGTAGGTTGAAAAAAAAATGAATGAACATGTACAAATTTGTGGAACCTGTTTTGTGTTCCAGGTGAACATAGATTGCAGACCAGCTGATATGTTCAAATTTAAGCTGACCTAAGAATGAAAAAGATCAATATTATTAAAAGCAGTTCATGAAATTGAAATTTTGCAAAAGCAATTGTTAATAATCAGGATAATGATAAAAGCAACAATCTCCACGTAATAAGAAAAATATTTTTATGAATGCGTATAACTAAACAACCACAAATCAGTAGAAACGTTTATCAAGAACCACATTGCACTTTAACTTGTTCATTTATCCTTTCATTTAATAAATTGCATACTTATTTGCAAAGAAATCGTTATTATTTCAAAAGCTCTGAGTCTTGGCTGATCCAAACATAAGGACAACGGATCAATGTATGCCGCAAATTCTGTAACATCCAAGATGCAGCGAGCTAAAAAAAAATGGACGTTATGAAGAGAAAAAATTTTACTTCTTTGTTCCCATTAGGTTGCTTTTGGAACCAGTTAATATTCAAGACCTGCATAAAAATAAAGCATGATGAGATCAATATATGTCAAGCTCAATCAATAAAACCCTAAAATCATATTTTTGAACAAAGTTGCTAACACAATGCTTAAATAATAGTACCAATTTTACTATTAAATCATAAAAACCACATTTGAAACAGAATATAAAATTAAGTCAAGTGCATTGGTTCTTCCATCTGTTCTTTGTAAGGAAACGAAGTCTAAACCATTACACTCTTCTTGACAAATAGAGTTAGGGTTTTCGTGATGCCATGGAAAAAAGCGAGGTTAAGGAAGGTGAATACCTTGAGATCGGCAGTGGGGGAGGGAACATTCAAGTTGTTGCAGAGCGCAGATGACCGCTAGAATCGTAAGTGCGATCGTTACGATTACATTCGTGCGGAAGCTGAAGGAATGCATTCCTGTTCCTGCGTCTCTCTTCTCTCTCTTGGCTCGCCAGCAAGCCCGCTTTCCCACGCTGTTTGAAAAAGATTTAATTTAGGGGCTTTGGTACCCAGAATTAGGGGGTAAAATAATCTAAATAAGTGCATTTCTTAAATTAGGGTGTTTGGTTTATTTACAGCGGAACATAAGGAATTCGTTCAAAGAATTAGGGGTGTATTACGGGACCCCGATCGTTCGGCTTCCAAAACCGCTCAAATTGAGCGGGTTAGAAATTCTCCCGCGACAAATCAGCCTTGCCCGATCATTTCTCGGAAGCAGAACTTATAAGTTCTCTCTTCTTCTCCATTCTTCCCATTCTCTCTCTGGCTCTCTACTCCGAACAGAAGCTCTGATTCGCTGCAGGAGGAGAACCCTTGTTTCGCCGCATCCATTTGCCGCAGCCAGGAGACCTGTTCATCCCTTCGCCGTCCGCACACCGGAACCGGACTCCTCTTGCTTCCTTTGTGACCTGTCCGCCCTCCTCTGCACCAGGTATTTTCATTCATTTCAACTCAAGGGGATTGAAGCTTATATTTACCTAATTGGTCCTCTATCCGCTTGAATGATTTGCTGAATTGAAGCAGTTTTGAGTTATCTTATTAAACTTCATCTATAGAATTTTTCCTGGATTCGTAATCCAAAGGATTTAGAGATGCGAGGCCTACTGATACGCTTTAGAAATTTTTCCTGGATTCGTTCTTGTGTATTTGCGGGAAGATGATGAAGTTTTCCTTTACCGATCCGTGATATGAGTCACTTAAAACTGTTTCACTCTCTATACTTTGTCCTCCAAATGTGTTGTTAGAACAATTTATGAGTTCAAGTTCTTCAGTTGCGACTGCAGAATCGTTGGGTTCTCAGGCGGTGATGGGAGATTCTTCGTCAGTGAGTTATTTTCCTCCGTTTTATTCAGCGGCGGGGCAGCATCGGACAATGGGGAATGGTTTACGTCGCCGGCTCCGCCGGAGTGGACCGGTTCCGGCAGCTATCCACCGTCTCCTTCGTGATGAAGCGGAGAGGTTTTACCTGTAGCAGTTCATGTTAACCATTTTTTTTTCCTGAAATTTGTGGTTTAGCCAGTCAGTGCTTTTCACTATTGAAATCATTTCTTGATTGATAGAAGGAAACGTGAGGGAGCCTTTTTTTCTCGATAGTTCTGAGTCAAGCTCATAAAGGCAAGAATATTTGTTTTAGATTGGTTGTAGTTGCAGTTGGCATTAACTTGCCATATATTTTACTGTTTTAGATGTATGTTTAAATTCTTTTTATTTACTCTAGCACACAATCCTCTTTCATGAATTTATTGCTCATGGATCTTTTTTTTCTTGAAGTTGAATTTTCTAGTTACAAAGATGGTTGAGCCATTCGAAGATGTTGCTGAACTTTATGAAACTCCACTTGTAACTCAACAAATACATTCAAGCAATGATGAACCCTCACCATTTATGGATGTTGGTGCAGATGGATCAATTCTTACTAAGTGGTCTGATATGCAAGTTATAAAAAATTCTACTGGAACAACAAAGAAACCGCTAAATTCATTTGGTATAGGAGGCGGCGTAAAAAAGAAGTCTAAGACATCTGCTATTGATCAAAATATCCTTGAGTGTATTTCTTTGATGGTTGATAGTGTGAATGAAGTTGCTAACGCTATCAAGAGCTCAATAACTTCTCCAAAGCAAATTCGAGAAATGTATACTGAACTGCTGTTTGAGTTAACAAATATTCCTGGCTTCTCAGAAGAAGAAGTTGATACGTTATATGATAATTTATCAAAAAATCCAACACTGATACCATCTTTCCTTTCAAAACCTACAGATTCGAAGGCTCGTTGGATGCGTAAAGAATTGGGAAAATGATTTAAGTTTTTGAAGATTGACATATCAATTAAGTTGTCATAAGTAAAAAATGTTTCGTTTTAGTTTGTCTTAATTATAACTAAGAAAATTTGGTATTGTTATATATATATATATATATTGTAATTTTAAATTTTCGTTAATGTTGTTTACATTTTATGAATGAAAATCATGTGATATATTGATTGCTAAACGAAAAAAAATTATTACTTCGCTACATTAATGAAAGAAATCAGTGTGAAATTTATTATAACCCCAGTTCCTTTATGATGAAACCTAAGAAGATTGATATCGCCATATCTAACGAAGTTCATGGAGATGATTACCTTATGCAGTTTGTGGTTGCACAGAAGCTTGAAGAACAAGTTCTGATGGGGTTGAGATAGGAGAATATTCACCTCATAAATAAAGACCACGTTGACTCATCCACTGAACTTATAGTTGCTTCTCAAATGAAGAACCAAAAAGATGATGCTGGAGTTATTAATTTCCTGTCTGAAGTCCAACCTTCTGTTTTAGCCAACACTAATTTGATTCTGCCAGTCTTGGGGGTGTTAGCTGTTGTGGTGCTTAGCATTAGCATTAGTCATTCTCCTTATGAAGCAAAAACATATTATTTTGCAAGTCTTTATAAATGATATGTTATATATATATAGGACACATCAGATGTTAGTGTGGTTTCAAGTTCTCATAGTAATGAAACTTTATTTTTGCACACTTGAGATTTCACGTTCATTCTCATAGTTATGAAACTTCTGCATATTTGTATGATCATGTGTGACTGTTCATACTGATTTTGTTTTTCCAGTGCTGCAATTTCTTTTGAAGTTAGGCTCATATGGTCGAAATCGTGGAATTTAAATATGTTTGAAAATTTAATTTTCAGCAATTTTTTTTTTATAAAAAAATTACTTGCAAAAAAATAATATTTTTAAAAATATAAAATTAAAATTGCTCTCTATAACAAGTATATTTTCGTCTATTTTTTATATCTTATAATAAAAAAAAATTATGATAAGATTGTGCAATAAATGAATACATTATTTTTATTTTATAATATCAAATAATATTAATTATTATAAATACACTAGTTTTAATGTCAAAATAAATTATTAAAAAAAGGCTTTTATTTTACTCTGGATTTACATAACCAAACAAGGGAAATAATTTTCCTGCATTTATTTTGCAGATAACCAAACAGGCTCAAAGTATTTGAAATGCATTACATTTACTTTACATTACATTTATTAAATAAAGCCACTTGTAATGATAAATGATTAATTTAATATGATAATTAAATAATTGAATAAGTGATAATTGATATGACTGATGACCAGCTGGGAAGCAGTTGGTGTAAATGATGTTAGAAACACCATGTTAAAGCTAAATGTCCTACCTTACTAAATCATGCATTGATGCATGTGTATATTAATAGCACCGATGACATTGACATATATATTAATATTATTGATATTATTGGAATAATGCTTATAGTTATCTAATTAATTAATCATTTAACTATTCAATTACTATTTAAATATTTAATTAATATTTATATTGCTAATTATATAATTAACTATTTCTATCTTTAATCATATTAATTAAACTAATTAAATTATTGTCTAATTAAAAAATTAAGAACTAATCTTATAAGCAGGTAAGCTTTCCTCTTCATATTTCTTCATTGCTTCTAGTGTGAGGTACAGCTTCAACTTCGAATGAGTCATTTTGTCATTGCATGTCTAGGGTTTGATTTCCCTCTTATGCATTTTTTCATTGTTGTTTTGTTTAGCATGAAATTAATTTCTACAAGTATACAAGCTTCTCCACCTCCTTTAAAGACGTTGTTCTTGTCGGATTAGAGGTCGCGATAGGAGTTCACGGCGACGGTAATGATATTTCTCCCCTTTCACGGGCTTCTTCCCCTAAATCCGTAAAGCTCATAGTCCGTAAATTTGTCAAATGACAGAATTTAATAAATCTCAAATTTAGGCCATAAATCTATAAATCCATTATTTAATAACGATTCGGATTTAATGTGTGCCGCCACGCTCGAAAAATGTTTGGCAGCTTTTACTATAAATTTGTCATAAATCCTTGTACAAATCCAATACCAAACAGCCCTTAAAAGAGAGGAAATTATTGGGTTCGGTCACCGGACGCCGCTCGGAGCCCAATGAAAATGCGTCACATCACCTCCTCGGTACTGCTCGGTATTGTTCAATACCGAGCTCGGTACTGCGAGCTCGGTATTACTTGGTACTGGATACGTGGCTGCACTTGATTGGTCTCTGAACGGTAAGCTGTGTCCGATGTACGAACCCAATAATTTTCCAAATAGACGGCTCCAAGGGACAGCATTAGGCTGAAGGCGACTTATTGGAGAAGTTCTAAGCATTTCCAAGTTTTTTTTTTTCATATTTTTATATATCTCAAAACTAAAAGTTATTATTATTTGTTATATAAAACTCAAAAATATTTTCATATATTGAAATTTTCACTAAACAGTAATAAAAAAAAAAAGAACAAATGAATATTTCTCAAAATTCTCAAATTTTCAAGTCAATTCAATGTGTATGTTAATTAATTCAACATTAAAAGTAACGACAGAAAATGGTATTTGAAATGGCCAAATTTACATCATAAAGAATTGAATGGGACTTTGGCAATGAAATCATCACTAAAATAGCTTCTAGGTTCCCAATACCCATTGAAGGAGAAATTATTACGTGTGGATATTGGACATAGAGCTACGTCCGGACTCCAACGAAAATATGATGTGTGGACTAATATATTACTATTTATTGTTGTGTATTGGTATGTATTAGCTGTGTATTTGTGTGTATTAGCTAGTACAAAACTAATACACACCAAATATACCAATACATAGCTTTGTACTAGCTAATACACACCAAGACACGACTAATACATACCAATATATAGCAATATATAGCAATACACTAGTTCACGCGACATATTCTTATTAGAGTTCGGACGTAACTCTATATCTGATATTTGCAAGTAATAATTAAAGGGAGGCGGAGGCGGAGTTGGAGAAGGTGAAATGGTGAAAATTCATCGACCATTGTTAAGTAAAAAAATTATTTTGTTATAAAAAATTTGTTGTAATGGAGTATTTGTTCTCTTAATTTTACATAAACATTTAGCATATACATAAAAATTTATAAGAGATAATATGATGTTTAATATGACATGCCTAAAAAAGAGAAACTCATGAAGACTAACCTAGCTGAATGAGTCCTGAAGATACAAAAATTCATAGATCCTCATAATTGAAGAAGATATGATTATGTATAATTGAGAATGATTAAATGATTCCTATTGTAGGTTGAAAGCAATTATTTAATAATCTTTTTAGACATTTAGCCGACATATATGGAAGAAGAACATTTCCAAAAAAAAAAATGCTCAACTACCTAACCTTTTTCGTTGACAAATTGTAACATAGTAGCCATTTGCTCTTTAGAAGATATGTCGCGTAATTCATCAACTAAAATATAGAGGTAACTATCTCCAATTTCCTCTCTTATGAAATGTATGATGACAATCGATGCAGCTCTTGTGATATTCTTTTCAATATCTGTTGTTGTTAATTTCAAATTTTTTTGAAGCATTTTTAAGCATCACATTTTTTATCGCATTATTATGTTTAGCCAGAAATTGTAACAATCGAAGAAACTTTTCTTGATTTATAAATGTGTCAGACTCATCATGTCATCTGAAAGCTAGTCTTTATCTTAAAAGAAAATACACATAATCGATATATGCATTCAGACGAGTACAATGTGCAACTGTAGCATAATTAGATTGCTTCTTAAATACAAAACTAATATGTTGGCTTTGCTACATTAAATATGTACAGTTTCGCCGTGTATTACTGTGTGCACTGTTATGACCCCTAACATGAGGTTCAAATTTATTTGCTTTTTTTTCAATTTGAAAATTCATTCTTATTGAATGCATCATCATTCTCATTTTCTCTACTATATACTAGAATATAAAAAATATATCCATATTGATGTCATAAATATCATATAATTCTTCTTCCATGGTTTATCCACATTAATAGCCGAGATTAGACATGACAAAATATCTCTAACTCTCTGGAATAGGCAACTCTCGCTGCCCAAAAATAAGGTGACCCGTTTCTTTAAATAATTAATATGAGCTTCATACTGGCACAATTGGTCCAAACCCAAAATAACATAATTTTTTTTTTAAAAAAAAGTTGTAAAATCAAACTAGATCTTCACTTTCTATCATACATATTAGGGTTAAAAAATAGACCTCCTTGGCTATCATACAATCTCTAGTTGGTAAAGTAACATACAAGAAAAATTATGATAAACCTGAAGGCAAGCATAGTTAATAAAAATAGCACTTGAAATAAATGAATAAATAACTCCATAATCAAACAAAGTATGATAAGATTGATAAAAAAAAGTAGGTCGTACCTATCATAACATGTAGAGTATCTCGAGCCGCCTATGATCAAGTCATAATATACACATGTGCTTAAACTGGAACTATCACAACAAAACTATTAGGCTAGCTCTGATTTATAAATGATCTACCAGCCACTGATCCAACTACAAAACCAGTACTACTACCTCTACTATATGATCCCTTAGAAAAAGTGTGAGGTGATACTATCCTCAGTCTCCCTATGGACCTAATTGAACTCTCAAATCGGAACTCAAAATGTTGGTCATATCCTACTTGTGGATACTAGATTATCCAGCGTCGCCCAAACTACTTGCACATAAAACATTATCCTAAAATATTGTATTAACCACCAAAATTTCATCTACCACAATTGCGACATATGGGTGTCATAGTAATAAAACTAAAATACGTTGCCACTGTCAGAAACTGCCATGGATAAATGATGTGTCTTTCCTATACTCTTCAGGTCCAAACCAATTCTTCTTTTTAGAGAATTCACTGTTAGAAGTGTCGCCACCAAACCTTTTTATACTAGCAGCCTATTGCTGCTAAGTAGCTATCAGATCGTTCTCAATCAAATAAGCTCTCTCTACCAACTTAAAGAAATAAAAAATATGGTTTGGGACCAATGGCTACCTTATACTATCTCACAATCCTCTAAAAAATCTATAGCACTTCTCTCAAGGAATGTTAACTAGGTGCGGAGCATATATGGCTAAAGAGATAAAGTCTACCTCATTCTGCATGATTATACAGCTTATCATTATTCTTATTTTGACCAAATCAAATAAATTTTTTTAGGAATTATTATAAGTCTAAATCACAAATTGTCTTTGTCATAACATAGATATTATAGTGATTTAATTACACTAATTATTTCATAATTTTTGGGCAAATCAGGCCCGGAATACACCAAAAAACTCCTCCAAACTAATCAAAGAGTTTAGTCTCCCTTGAAACTTCTCCTCCTATTGGCCCATCCACCAAGGCTCTCCCTCACCATCTAACAGAAAATTGCCAATGGTAGCTTCCTCTTAGAAGGACACTTCATAATGTCAAAAGTCTTCTCTAACCTCCTCAGTCATTCCTTTGCTATAATAGATTCCACTGCACCTTTGGATCTCATAGGCTTCAACCTCAAAAACATCTACATATGTCACTTTATCTCATCAGACCGAACAACAAGAATTCTGTATTGTGCCTCACCCATCAATTGGGTTACCAAACTAGCAAATTATGAAGTATCAATATAAGAGTGAATACCCATATAATATCAAAATTGATTGTAGGAGTGGTACTATATACAATAGCTACATGACTGGCACTCTATTCATCTATCATATCTGGTTATAGCATATATATACTAACATAAAATGCTTAACTGGATATATATATTTACATGAAGAAATAAGAGTGAATACCTAGATAAACCCAAAACTATCTCATTTGACTTATAAATCAATTCATATAGCTCTGTTTTAAGATCATTTTCCAAAATTATGCTTTAATACCAAAAAGGCTCGTCATAACCCAACTCGATAAGACCCATAAACTGAATATGTCCTATTATATTGACTTGTGATAGACATACCCCAAGATATAAGTTTTAAATCTTTTTTCAACATTTCATCAACATCCACTTTACTGAAATTAAATGCATCCATAAAGGTCATCTTTCTATTTATCACCAAAATATATATACAACTACAATGCATAGCTATAGACATAGCTATAAAAACTAGTTATGAATGTAATAAAATCAACAAAAAGAAATACCTCTGTAGTCTCAGATTAGATTCTTACATCATTACTCATCTAGTCATTTCCCTTATTAGAACCAGAAAAATATAAGTTCAATAATGAGCTAACATAGCTCAATAGACTACTATAACCGATCTAAATTTCCAATTACTTCTTTTATAAATCATTAACTATAATATTTAAATGTAATAAATTAAATTATTATACTGAGTAGAATGATAATTTCAGTTGCCCATAATTCAAATAATAATACTGACAAATTTAATAAACAAGAGTTTCATATAAACTTCACATATCTCAAAGTACAAGGTAGCATTTTTCCTTATTAAATAGAATCTAAAGATTTTGGCTCTTTTTAACTCCCAATAGACATAGTTTTTCCCTTTCTTAGACAGAATCCTAATGTTATAGCCCATTATAACTCCAACAAACATAATTTTAGAGAGTTACAGATTCCCTGTATATGACAAAATTCAAAAGATTATGACATCTTATATCTCCCTATATATATATATATATATATATAACATCAAAACTCACATAATTTATTACAATGTAGAAATTAAAGCATAATTAAACTAAGAATAAAATTTCACAATTTTTATGCTAGTATGCAATAGTAGGCAACAAAATACACTATCATATATAAAATTTATCGTTTCAAAATATAATCAAAACACTAGGAATTGTGTAAAACACTTTTTTAAGACTTGAATTATATTACATATTTTTTTTTCGTATTTTAAATTATTTTTTAGAAAATTAAATAGAAGCACATTTCAAAAAGTACCCGATGTAAATTTTCTCAAAAAATCTTTAAATGTTTATAACTTATATCTTTACAATATACATAAAGTTATACAATAAAAATTTAATTAGTGCAAAGTTATCCTCATGTTTTGGCAATGAAAATATAAATGTAATAAAAATTAAGAAAATATTTTATAAATTTTAAAAATTGAGATAGACCTAGTGTGACTTACCTCGATCTAGATAACTTTTAAAATTGGGTTGGCAACAGAAAATGACCAAAGCAGCTTAAATTAGACTTTCTCTTTCTAGGATCTCTCCCTTTCCCTCTTGAAGCCAGTTGCCTCAAATGAAAATGAATCGAATGAACAGTGCTTTGGGACATTTAAATTACTCAAATTTGTTGTAACACTCCGGCGTTTGCCATAGTTCTCTTAAAAAAATCCACAACGCTGCCGCACGCCAAATCACCGAATTAAATAAAGATTTTCTAGAACTCACTTTCGCTAGGGTGCTTCCGACCCAAGCGCTGTAGCGCCCCAGGGAAAATTTTAAGATTCCACAAACTTGCAAACAAAACCCTAAGATCCACTCCATAACACATACAAACTCTCACATGCATATAAATACTATGAGCACAGGCAAAAATGATTCAAAATGAAAAAATTCAAGTAATTACCTCTTTCAAATCGGTTAGAATAGGTTGAACTAAGATAATAAATCTAGAGGTGTCACAAATTTAAAGACTAATGACTAATTGATCGACAATTATTGTGGAACGATGAAAACACCTCATTAAAGCTAGATGTTCTATCTTTCTCTTAATAATTATATTTCTGATTGCATTTACATGATAATGTATTGAGCTGATTTATAGATACAACTAATATTGAACTAATATTAATACATAAAATATAACATAACATACAAACAAGACACATTGATTCTGTCTTCTACCAGTTTGTATTGTGGTGTCATAAACCTCTTTTATAATTATTGAGCATATTGGTTTTATTGTTAATTGACATTAATTTTATAAATTGCTTATTGTTCACACCGATAACTTATTGATTGATATTAACATTGATTGTGACAGACATATTGATTCTTTTTTCTTGCATTGAATATAATGATAAGTTTTGGATATTTGTTGGGTTTTTTATGCTCATTATATGGTTTTATATAATTTCAGATAAATGTAAGGAATATGTAGAGTAAGGCTAAATAGTAATAATGGTTTGTTGCTAGTTTAATTTTACTTCATGCTTTTAGTTTCTTTTTAGTTTTATGTGTATTTTTTGTAGCAAGTGGTGGCTATTATATATATGCTTTTGGACTTTAAACATTAAATTAATATGTGATTATTGACTATGATAATGTAATTATGTTTCTTATTGTTTATTGTTGTTTTTATATAACTTTAAATGTAATTAGTTAGCTATGGTTGTCAATGATCTGGTTATAAATGAATATTGACTACAAAAATGAACAAATTAAAAGAAAAATGATGTAATTCTTCCACTTTAGATCTTGGGACAACACATCTAATCCCCCCTCCCCCCTTTAATTATAAATATCCCCTCATAAGGGGAGGGGGATAATTTAGTCCTACCCTGTTCTTAAGCTCCAATTATTTGTCTTAAGAGAGAATTTCCACCATCTTATATAGGCCCTGATTAATTCTCTATCCATAGGCTCTAGTAAAGTACTTTTCTAAATAAGTGGTGCATAACTCTCATACATGATCTAGTCCTCATTCACCAATAGTAATAAATTTTTCTTTGAAGTTACAAGAAAAATCAAGATCTTCCAATTCCTTATTTGTACATCATGATTTTACCTGCTAAAAAAAGGCTTGAGAATGTCTTATATTGGCAATATGTAATTCTACTTCATATGCTCAGTAAAATTCTATCCCAAATAGGCAGTAAATATTCCCCTTACTCACTCAAATATTTTCTTTCTAAGGAGTATCAAATCATCATACAACCAAAGTTGTGAGTATAAATTCTATCTTAACCTTGCAGTAAGTTTCACACAGATAAAATGAGCTCCCAAATGGGCTAAGGTTTTTATATGAAAAACCCTATAAAGGAAAAGCATGGAGACCTTCTTGGTTGAAACAATCCACTATGTTGGGTGAATACTACAAAAAGTAGCCTTCTCCTTAACCGATGAAGATGAAATTACAAAGTATAGATTGTTGGCTTAGCCACATTTGAGAGTAGTAAAAATTACCAGTGAAATAGTGAGGAGTGATGTGTATTAGTTTGAATTGATGACTATCAAAAGCAACTTGTTGATGATAGTCATCATCATCAGTTTACAACATGTGATGGTAGTTGGAACGTCTATTGTCGTAAGACAATGACTGGCAAAATGAAGCGATTAGGTGTTGGTGGCCTAATGACACCGATTGAGTGACAACCGACAAGCATCAATGGTGGGGTGATAGCGAACAAGTGATCATGACAATCAAGTTATGATGTACTTATGATGCAATTGTTGTTGGTCAACAACAAGTGAGCAGTGATGATGATTAACATTGATTAGTAGACATAGTTTTAGGATTATTAAATTCCAATATTCTCTCCACTCAACATCCCCTTTCTCTGTGGACTTAGTGTCTATTTATATATTTTTTGGACCTTTTAATTTATTTTGTCAAATTATAAACTCTCATTTAGATAGTTTAGAACAATCCTCAATTAATTGATATTTTATTATTATTTGAGTTCTAATATAATTAGAATTGATCTAACTTGGGTTTGTTAAATTAGTATAATAGATGAGTATGCCAATTATAAATTTGTTGAAAATAGAATTTAGTTGACTCTGAATTTAATCATGAAAGTATCCAAGTCAAATACTAGCATTAATATTCTTGCTATAAATATAAATATTTTATTTATTTTTAAAATAAAAAATAAAAATATTTAAAAATATTATAAATAAGTAGCTTTTTTGAAAATAAAAATAAAAAAATTAATGAAAATGATCCACCAAAAAAAGGCTAATATAAAACCGTTTGTTTTAGGAAAGTGCCGTCGCTCTTTTCGTTGGAAATTATTTTTAAACCTCAGATCTGAGCGGACTACGTCGAAATCAGCTAATACTTTATTCGAATCGATAAGGTTACGTTCCTAACACAAAGAAGAAGAAGAAAAAAAAAAACCCTAAAAACTTGTCGGCTTTTTTATCGCACAGCTCTACCTGCATAACAAGCGCATCTTCCAAGCAAGGGACCTTTACGTTCCTCCTCCCGTCGACGCCAACACCCATTTTCGGCGATCAAAAGGAACACCCTATCGATTTCCGCACGTTGCCCGCCTCTACATGCAAGGTGAGGCATAGCTTGGAGGCGCCGGCGATTGGAGGGATCGGTCTAAAGGACCGCGACTTACCGCCGCCTGAGAAAAGGCCGACGCTGGAATCATGTCTGCCGTAGTTTGCAGAAAGAGATCCAATTCTATCTTCGAAGAACTCCAATACATCACTCCTTCGCCTTCTAAGAAAATTCGCTGCGCCGCCGGCGCCGCCTCGCCGCCATCAAGCAGGAACGCTTCCCAGTTCGTCACCCCGCCGATCGTTTCTGGATCGGCGGGAGGAAATAGTCAACTTCTCAATCATCTTAGGAACCTCTTCCCTAATATGGAGCAGCAGGTTAATCAATCTTTATTGTTGGTCTCTTTTGAAATTGTTTCTCCTTTACTATTTACAAAGATTTTGTGCACATCAATTTTTGTATATATTCACTACAGAATAATATACCCTACAATAAACACCAACATACATAGCTACCCACCGACCTTACTCTAAATTCCTTTAGACTTAATAATTTTTCCCTTACACGGAAAGAAATAATATATGTATTAGATATGTGCTCTTATTGATGGTTTAGTTATCCATCTGTTTGTGTCTATCTTTAGGATTTTTTACATATGATTGTAGGAAAACCATTGTCTTAAAATTTTCTGATGATTATTTGGCTTTTGGTTTCTTCAATTTAAATTCTTATATCCTCCTTTGTGATTGTCGGTAGTAATTGGTCGTTTAATAGGTTATATCCTGTTTTCTTGCTTCAGTTAATTGCTCTTTATATTTTCTTAGGAAAATAACGAGTAATGTTTTTGAAGTTTATGCTTTTTGAGGCTTGCTTGGCTGGTTTCCGTCACATATTTGATTACTGGGCTATCGGCTCAGTGTATGTATTTGTGTTAATTAGTACAATGTCACCTCTGCAACTTTTTATTTTATTCCATTAATATTGAGAAATATGTTACCTTTCCGCCACCAACAATCGCTTGGCTACACTTCACCTTTGTTCTACAGATAGGTAAGAGTTATATAATAGAGTAGTTTGAATGATATCAGGAATTTTCCTGGGCATTGAGTAGGATTTTAAGAGGATTGTATGTTCTAAAGAATTGTTTATAAGAAGCTAAGACTGTTTTTCACATTGCTAAATGATTTTAAATTGTGATGCTTGTTTGATACCTCTGGCTTTAGGAGAGCTTTTTGAAATTATTTTTTTATTCTGTTTAACAAAGCAAATTAATTTTATCGTTTGACTAATTCAAATCCGTATGGTTATGTTATAATGATGCGATTTTGAAAACCTATTGGTGTTAGTGTATTCTTTTTTTATTGAGTGATAAAGCAATCTCTTTTGATTAAGAAATATAATTTTCCTATTTTCAATAATGGATACATGCCTATAGTTTTTACTTTTGCAATTTAAACATGATAAATTCAATTACAAATTAAATATAACTGATATTCTTTTCTTATTAAACCATTTGGTGTGGTGAATTTTAAAATTTAGAAGATATCCCACAAAATTTAAATTGAAAGCTGTTTAGAGAATAGTGCTGCTACTCTTCATTTAAGCTTTTTTGAGTGACCAATTTTTCATAAACACTTGTGAGATGCTTTTGATTAGATTTTATAAGTAATATTCAAAGCTTTCGATTCAAATTTCAGTTCAATGTTGTTTCATGTATATCAGGAGACATCATTGAAGGTTGGTTTGCAATAGTCATACATTTTGATATTTAGAACTTGGTGTTCTAGTTTTACCTAACTATTAGTGTATTAACATGTCAGTATCTTGAAAGAGCCCTTGAAGCCTCTGGTAATGATTTAGATTCTGCCATAATGAGTCTAAATGATCTCTGCTTAGAATCATCTGCAAATAGAGCCAATGGTGGAGTCGAAGAAAATGGGAACCTTTTACCTGAAGGTATATCTTATGGTTTATTGTGCATATTTCATTTATCAATAATTCAATATACATTGCATACATTCTTTATTTTCTTTTGCTTCATTATCTAGGGAACTACACAAACTATAATAAAGACAGCCTAATACATTCATATGTACATGAAAATAACTAGGGTACATACAACTTTACCCTATTTGCCTAAATTTGAAAAATACTAACATACCAATTGGTTGGCATGGATGCGCAATCAAGAGGTAGAGTGTTACATTTCATCTGTGAAAGTCTGAAATCTGAATCACAAAAAATGAATTAAGAAATAGTAACTTTTGAGTGGATACTAATTCATGAAAGAGTGAAGAAGAGGATAGAATAAGAGAGTAAAATTATCATGCTTTATTTCTACATATGTTAAAGTATTTATGGGTTTTACAATGCTCCTTTTATATCTCTATTTATGGCATTTTGGCCCAAACAAAATTAACTATTTCCACATATTCCTACTAACATTCAACTAACATATTTGCTATTTGCTTTGATTGATTCAACAATAATGCTATTTGTTTAAACTAACATCCAATTATTCTAATTTCTATATATAGTCATCAATATTTATTTTTGGAAGTAGTCCTTTTAAATTCAAGGTAGTTCTTTTAAACCATCCCGGTGCTTGTGTTCTCTTCTTGGAATGATGTGGCCATACTTTTTATCTTCCTTCTGATGTAACTTGTGCCTGAGTGTCATTTATGTTATCAGACTTAATCATCTATCTAATCCCTCATAAATATTTGGTTAAATAATATTGGTTCTCACTCTTTTTCCATCTTCGAAAACAACCTTTATCTCAATATTGAGGGAAGAATGTGACATAACAAGGTAAAGTCTATTCAAGTAGCTTCCTCAATTGATGAATTTGTCCATTGTACCAATACTTTGGGATATTTACTTCCCTTAGGAGGCAACCAACGTGATGCCAGAATTAGTTTGGGTAGGAGTAATGGCTGATTATTGTAGCTTAATGGAGGCAGATCAATTTAAAGAATTGACGCATCACCTTTAAATGGATTTAAAATTAACATTTAAAAAATAGAATGAGTTTGACATCCTTGCAGTAGCTCCCACGTGCAGGTGACTGGGCTAATGATCGCTATATTTCGAAATGGCGCCCATACAATATATTTTTGCTAATTTATTGTTAGCAGAAGTGGATAAAGATTTTTGTTTGAATAATGATGACTATGAACCATAGTTTTCATTCTAATTTGGGCCTATTGGAGGTTTTGATAAAGCAATTTCAGTATCTGGTTTCTAACCCACATGTTGGCTTCTAAAGCTTCAATAGTTTTTCCTTCCCTGAATATAAACCGAAATGAATGGTGGTCACCTACTATATAATTCTTGATATGAAGTCATTTGAATATTTATATGAAAACTTTTATTATAACATAATTCGACACCACACAAATTAGTTTATCATAACTTTATTCAGGTCAACCTATATGTGTACAATTATTGTTCAAAATAATGATACAAAACTTTCAATTTTTTTGCTCTGTTTGTGGATAGTATGTCATGCTATAATGAAGTGTGTCATCTCTCGATGCAAACAAATACCTTCAGAAAGATCCATGGAAATAATGGTATTAGGAAAACCATGGATGCAAATCGCCATTTCAGCAAATAATTTAGTGACTCTGGCTATGCTATAGTGGGAGGGTAGCGGTTTAAAATGTGCATATTTGGATGGTCAATAATTACAAAGATAGTGGTATGCTTTTTGGAAGATGATAAATCTATAATGAAATCCATCATTATATCTTCTCGTAGTTGCTCTGAAATGTGTTAGGGAGCTAACAATTCAGCTGTTGTAGTTGTTGCCACTTTTATTTCTCAGCAAATTACAAACGGGCCAGCATAATCGTAATCAACTTTATATCTTAGGCCAATAGTAATTCACAAAAATATTATTTTCAAAATTTCACCATAATGGACAATTGGTTATCCATCAAATTCTTGAAGCAATTTATCTTTTAGGATCACAATTCTAGTCATCAATGCCAAGTAACATGTAAAACTTACTGGAGCATTTAAGTTGAGGAACAAGTTTTCCATCGCAATTGATGTACAATCCTTTTGAGAATATGTTATTTTTCTGATGGAGACAATTTTCAGACAGGAAAGTCTATGTGCTTTGATGAATTGATGGTTGAGTCGGAGGACTATGAAAAGTTGTCTGCATATTTGGATGAATCGGTTAGCTTGAATTTTTTTTGGGGACATTTAGGTCAATTAAGACAAATTTACCCACACATCGCATACTCAAAGACTCGAACACAAGACCTCTTAGTTGGTAGACTAAGCTCTCAAATAACAGGCCAAGGTGAGCTGTGCAAATCATTGAACTATTTGGAGGAGAATGTTGCCAAGAATATGAAACACTAGCGTACAAATTATGGGCTTCGATTTATCTATTCTTGCAAGTTTTATCACGTTCAGCAATGTACAGAAATCTAGAATTTTGTGGATTGTGAAAATCAAAGTCCTCTGCCTTGAAAATCCAAGTATTGACCTTAGAACCACCGAAACAAGGTAATTCTATCTTTATAGATCTCATGAGCTACGTCGGCTATTGCATGCGAGCTACTGCTAAATTGAAGGTTAATCCCAAGTTGCTATCACTCTTAGAATCTTCCTGGTGTATTGACAATGATGTTATGAACTTCGATAACTCATTGATTCTTTTATCGCCATTCATCATGAAGTAAAACAGCCATTTTTCCTTCATTAGCTTTGTTTTTGTGTGGGCTCAACTGTTGGAGTAGTCAATCCATAATCGTTTTGAGTAGCTTAGAACCAATCTTCATTGGTTTAGGCTTATCCCAACATTCTATTCCTTTCACTGACTAAGAATCCTCATAATCCAAGCAGGTTAAGAAAGAATATTTCCTGATTCCTTTATAGTATGCAAGATGCGAGTCTATATTTCTGGTCGATCAAGTTAAGATAATTCAGCCATTGAGTCAATATGACTCTGCGGAAATATAGCTAAGATCAGAAGTATCTTTCTTTTCAGTCAATATCTTCCGGCCATTTTTGCCTGCTTTCGAGAATAGGTAGAGTTCTTGGCTAGGCTGCATATATGAGGTCTATAAACTGACTGTTGGCAGTTTCTGACAACCTGTGCTCTGCAGTAACTTGAAACCTTATTGTCAGGACATATATCTTTGTATTTTTAGTTTTCATGGAGGCTATCGGTTCTTCCCAAGTACCTTTAATTAAATTATTTCTCCTAATTTTTGAATGTTTACCACGTTATTCACTAAAACTTATAGGAAAGGCTGTTTTGTAAAGGTTATGGTGCCATCTCCCTGATGAATTAGAACATTTTTACCATACTTAATGGAGGACACTAAATATCCTGATGATAGGAAATACTTGAAGATTTCAAGTAAATCCCATCAGTTTTAGAAAATCAGCGAGAAACTCTTCCAAACTCCAAAAGAAAAACCGAAAAACAGTAATTTTATTGCAAGAATCAAATAGATAGGAAGAAAACAACAAGATACAAGTGATCCTCTATTCGAGAGGAGGTTCGATCTCTCCCAATCTCTAGACGAATCTAGAGCCTAAAAGCTAAACCTAAGAGATCCCAAAATCAACCAAATTCAAGAAGCCCTAATCCTAGGAAAACAAAGTATTTAATGCATACAAATCAAAAGGAAATCTCTAAATAGTTCCTACATTCAAATTCCCTTCTAAATTTTCTAAAAATCCTTCCTAATTCAGCCCGATGGAGGTTTGAGGTCCGCTCGATCTCCGCGGGAGAGGCGGAACCCCCGCCTCTATTTGCCTGGGCCGGTCCCGTGTGGACCGGTCTAACATCATCATGTTTTAGACATTAACAATTGAGATTGGAACGAAATGTGCCTTCCGCTTCTTAATATGGATCAAGAAGCATACCATTATGCCAGACTAAAATTTTCCTAACTGAGTTCTGATTCTTTCTTTCAACTACTGTTGATTATAACTCAGCTTCTGGTGAAGAATCTGCTAGTAATGGATCAGAATGGGTGGATCTTTTTGTGAGAGAGATGATGAATGCATCTAACATGGATGATGCCAGGACTCGGGCCTCTAGAGCACTAGAATTCCTGGAGAAATCTATTGTTGCACGTGTTAATGTTGAAGCAGCTCAGAACTTCAACAAGGTGCTTTACATTACTCGCTAAAAGCTAACCTTCTCCTTTCTGCTATTTCTTTTTTTAATATTGTAACTAAATTAACATTTGGTTTGAGATAGGAAAGCATGATTCTGAAGGAGCAGGTTGAAACTCTTCTCCGTGAAAACCATATTTTGAAAACTGCAGTGACCATCCAGCATGAGCGCCAGAAGGACTACGATGAGAAGAATCAGGAGCTACAGCAACTTAAGCAGCTTGTTTCTCAGTACCGGGAGCAGCTAAGTAAGCTGGAGGTATGTGATTTTTTCCTGAATAATATGTAAATAACTTTGTATGCGTCAAGAATTTTAACTAGGGGTATCAATTCGGGTCAACGGGTTGGGTTTGGGTCAAACTCGGAACTGACCCGAGGCTATTTGACACGACCTGAATTGTTTTTGCACACGGGTTAGAAAATGCAACCCAGACCCGACCTACGGGTTGCTGGTTTGACACGACCCGACATGAAATTGGGTTGCGGAAGTGGGCGCATGAGGACTAGGGTTGAGGGGGCATGCCCTCATCACCTCGTGTCGTGTGGGCGTCTGCATGGACTTGAAGGCGCTGAGGCGCGTTGGGACTGGCGAACTGCAGAGGTGGGCGCTTGGCCTGTGGGGAGTATGGGGACTGCCAACTGCGGAGGTCGGGAGGTGGGTCGTGGGCACGTGGGGAGTTGGGTCAATGGGTCCGTTGGGAGTCTGGACCCGCGTTTCCAGCTAGGCTAGGGCTAACGGACCCGGACCCAAGTCAACTTTGGGTTGATTTTGGGTTTTTCGGGTCAACCCGAACTCAACCTGTTTGCTATAACCGGGTTGAACTGAACCCGGATTTTTCCGGGTCGGATCTGGGTTGGGTTTCGAGTCGTGTCAAAAATTGACACCCCTAATTTTAACATATCTTATTGTCTGGCAGGTTAACAACTATGCACTGGCAATGCATCTAAGGCAAGCTCAACAGGGCTGTTCAATCCCAGGAAGATTCAATCCTGACATCTTTTAAGTTGTTTGATGAGTTGCCTTCTCATCTTTAGACATGAAAAGAGTTGTATACATGCTGCTACTGGTTTGTTTCTTATTTGAGACTCTAATTTGTTGGTTTGTTTTATTATCTCTCTAAAATGGGTGCATTATCTTCTTTGTAATAATGACTATAGATTGACAATATTATCAGCACTCTATGCTTTGATTGTTGCTTGATTTTACTGTAACCTTTCTTCTAACAATCTTTGTAATGACATCATAGCATATTCAATTTTAAATTTACACACCCATTTTACAGTTTTAGTTCTAACTTTCTAGTTAGAACCCTTTCATCTGTGATATTTATATATGCTATTTTTTAAATTAATTATTAAACCGGCTTCTTATACATATTTTCTTATAAAATGTGCTCATTTATATAATTTGGCCTAAATAAGAGGTGTGAGAAATCAATTAAATATATATTCTAATCATTTTGGAGAAATCAAATCATAAATTTAATTAGAATATAGGAGCTAATTTTTTTAAAATTAAATGATATGTAAATATTTTTATTTAAAAAATTCTTTTTAAGTTTTTTTTTATTTGAGATAAAATATTGTTTATATTTGAGTATTTATTATGTAATTATGAGAATTCTAACATATGTTTTAGTATTAATGCTTATAATTTTATTCAAAGAGCCATTTTTAAGTGGAAATGTCTATATACAAATTAAATAAAATTAATTTATACGTATAAAATTTGTTTATAAGAAAATTTTGTATGATTTTTCCTCAGTTACATAAAATCTAAATCGTTACTTTTTTTATTTTTTTTAAGTTAGGGATTATTATTTTTATTTAATATAAGTTATATTAATTAAATTAAAATTTTCCAAGTTAATAAATTTTAACATAATGTAATAATTTAACATTAAAGTTTTAAGTTATAATATTTTTTATTTAAAAATAATGTTATATTACGAAAATGTTAATATTAATAATGTAATATTTAACTATATAAATTTCAGAAATAGTATTTATTATTTATTTGTTAGTAATATATATATATATATATATATATATATGATTTTATTTATTTTTTATTTCACCAAAATATATAGATGACTTGGTTGATAAATCACGGTCACAAAAATTTTGGTGATTGATGTTGATTGAGAAAATTGGCTAAATAATTGATTACGGGCATAAAAAAATTCGAAATGAGTTAAACCAATTCCGATTTCTATAGAAATCAAAACACGAAAACCCGATTTCTATAGGAACCAGATTTACAAATTTTATACAAATTTCAGTTTCAATTTTAAACCGGATTTTCATATTCTGATTACTATAAATCATATTTGCTCCTTCCATATTTACTCTTTTTTTGAATTAATTATTAGACCTGTTTCTTATGCATATTTTTTATAAAATGTGCTCCTTTTATAATTTGATCTTTATATATTTGGAGAAATTATATTAGATAAAGGGGTAAATAATTCTACTATTTACTTTCAGCAATACTGATAATACTTTGACGTTATTAAGGGTATTTTGATGAAATTTTTCTCATATGAAAATGAGAAAATTATTTAAGTATAGAATTTTAAATTCCAAAAAAAAAAAAAAGGAATTTTCGGGTTCCGCGACGGCGCCTCCGAGAGATCAGCTCCTCATCCCGTTTTCCGCAGCGGCCATTCAAAGCCAATGCGCCAAAAACCGATCCCGACGGAGGTGGCGGCCGGAACCAAATCGGCGACTTCGTTGATGAGATGGGCGGGAAAGGTAGATCACCTGGGCGGCATCCCTCGCGCGCTGGTCATCACAGCCGTAGGGGCCTTCGCCAAGCTGTTCACCTCCTTTCTTAATTCCACCCACGTCTATAACGCCGAAACTCTTCATCACCTTGTCCACTCCCGATCACCCGGCCGACCACTAATCACAGTCAGCAACCATATGTCTACGTCGGTGATTATTCTTCCGTTCTTCGCCTCCTTTTGCAGATATTTCTCTGATATATATATGCTTGCTGAGGGATGTGATAGATTTTTTCTTGATGTAAAAAGATTTAATGAGGTTTTGGCTGCTAATTCTTCGAATTTGCTGTTATGTAGGGTCGCTTCTTAGATTTTTGTTTGAGCTGAAGTTTATTGATGGGATTTGTCTTGTGTTACGATTTGAAGATTTTCAAGTGGATGGTGGAGTCGATACTTAATGATATGTGGACTGATTAGCTGTTTGCAGATTACTTGGTGATCGGTGTATAATTTGTTCTGATAGAATTATTCGGATTACCTGGAATGTTTCATTGGAATTTTGTTAGAAATCATTAGGTTCGGTAATGCTGATTTATCTCACTTTATGGTCATCATTGCTTACTTAAAATTTTTTGTTTATTTTTATTTATATGTGTCTAATAAATCCTAGCTTAGGTGGATTTTAAGGATTCACATTGGATAGAAGCGCATGTAACAATAATACTCTCTGTTTAACCTTGTTTCCTCCTAGCAGCATTCCCCATGCGGGGAAAGTAATGCAGTCTAGAACTTCTCTAGCTCAGAACCCCATGGGCAGACATCACTAAAGATAATAGGTTTTTGCTTGGCTCAACCATTTGCTTGCGCAAGAGAAGATTTCGATGACTTCTCACAACTATTACTGTTTTCTTTGGGTGATCTAGATGTGCCTATTAGGATAAATTATTAGGTTTGGACACCGGACAGAGAGAATCATCCGGATTTCTCTTTGTCTATAGCAAAAGCACAGTCTAAGCATAGCTGCTATAGTAACTGCGCTTTTACTATAGACAGAGAGAAATCCGGATGATTCTCTCTGTCCGTTGACCGAACCTAATAATTTGCCCTATTATTGAGGGTTGGGTAATGCTAATTTATCTCGCTTTTGATCTTCATAGTCAACCTAATAATTTGCCCTATTATTGAGGGTTGGGTAATGGTAATTTATCTCGCTTCTGGTCTTCATAGTTTTCTTATTAATCTGCCTACTACTAGATGCACATAAAAATTAACTTCTAATTTTTATTCAGCTGTATCTATTATTGCAGATTGTTGGACAGTTAGATACATGGGATTTGCATAGAGTAGAAATGCATAATCTCAATATGAATTTTTGGTTTGGTGCTTGCTGCGCCCTGCATTCTAGTGGCATTCTTAATGAGAGTAATGCAATTTAAAACGCCTTTATTCATAGCCAACACACAATTAGCAACAAAAAAAAAAAGAAAAGAAAAAAGGAAAAACATGTAAAAAGAGGCTTTAGCTTGTCTCATCGGTTAGCTTTTTATGATAGAAGCTTGTGATGCTCAAGCTAATAATCAAGGTTTAGTTTGAACAAACCAAGTGGTGGGTTTTGGGAACAAATGCTCTGTCTTAGTACGTGGTCAAATATCTTGGGAATTTTTAAGCTGTAATTTTTAGATTTTAGGTCTTCAACTCCTGAAAATAAGAGGGCCAAATATATTTTAATAATTTAGAAATTTGCCATTATGATTGTACCAATTGATTTTGTGATAAAATTACCTTATGGTGACACTTAAGGTATTCTACTAACACTCAACAAGGCGTATTAATTTGATTGTTATAAGGATTTTCATGTCACAATAAATGAGCATATGTGGACAATAAATGATTTATATGCATTTCACTTAAATTGGTGTATAGAATGCCACCATGTCTTAGGATTTGTGAAATCATATTCTGATAATCAATTTTTATCTTAGGATAATGAAGGCTTTGATTGACCCATTTAAACTATGCCCCGAATGTCAAACCAAACAAGGTTTTTGGTTGATTTGCTAACTTGGACGCCTTAGGTAACATTTAGTGGTGTGTGAGTGGCATGTCCGGTTGCGAGGTATCACAATCCCCCTTTCTTTCTCCCCACGATCGGGTATGTAGTGCTTGTCCTTAACTTTTCTTATTCAGTTGCTGATGAGGTTTGTTGCTAATGATTTTCAAGTCCTACCATATGGCAACTCCTCATCTTCTTTCGCACCTAGGATGCTATGCTAGATGAGGTAGGTAGTTCTAGAACATCTCACTCATTATTGGTGGGATGATGATTATCCCTTTGGTCAAGATAAAGGTTTATAACTAAAGACCATGATGGCTATTGCGAAGGTGATTTTTATTTTAACAATAGGAGACCCTTAGCGAGAATACTATTGTAATTATTTTTTTTTCTAAAGATCACATGTTGTGCATAATTGGCTGTTAGCCTGTTATTGACAACAAGTGCGGATGTGTAATAAGTTACTTCAACTGTAAGGCCTTGTACTATGCAATGAAACAAAGGATTATCCTCAACTTCATTTTCAATCTCAATATTCTATGACCCACAAATGTTGGGAAACTTGCCTAGGATACGCTTCGTTTGTATTAAGCTCAGTGTACTATTACTTGAGTTGCTCAACTATTAGTGCCGCATATTACCTTCATTCTTTATGTGAACGATATTCCTTCCTTCGACATTTATTCACTGGTTCCAATTTTTTGTCATTTTATGGATCACCTTCTTTTACAGTTATTTGGTGGCTTCTCTTTATTTTTAGTATGTTACTTATTTTATTGTACATGTGTTTTTTTTTTAATTTTTACTTATTTTGAATAATATTGGGGTCCTCTTTGCAATTGGACTTTGCATGTGATATTCACGACTAATCTTTTGTAGCTTGGCTCTACTAGTATTAAACAATATTTGCAAGACTTGCACCATCTATTATATATGACTTACTATTTAAATTTTGAGCTTTTGTTGATGTTAGTCTTCTGCATCATCCATTTTTATGAGGATTGTTGTGTTTTATTGTAATAGAGATATGTGGCTTTTTTGGGGTTATTTTAATTAACGGGTAGGATGTATGAAATGGTTATTGTAATTTTAAATAGTGGTCTTCGACTTATAATAAAATTATCAAGCTGAATAAAACTCTAGTTATTTGTGCTATTTATTTTACTTCTAGTAGTCAACTCCTTGATCACTTGAGATTTGAAGATTTCCTAGGAGGTTATCTTATGCAAGCGAGAGGCTTGATTTTGGTGACTTTTTTTAAACTATATTTTTTTTCTCAGAATCTTATTGTTGGATTGAGTGCATGATTACTTTTTTCAAGTTTGATACAATCTCAATTTCTTTGGATTTGTGGTTTTCAAGATTCCTTATTTTTAAGCATTATTTGTGGTTTTCAAGATTCTAAATTTTTAAGCATTATTTCTAGTAGAAGATTATTGAATTATTATATGAATTGATGTTCATTGCATTTTTAATTTTTTTTTGAAGGCAATGAATAGTTATTAAAATTAATAGTTTGTGACCTGTTAAATTCTATATGCATTTTGAATAATTTTGTGCAATGCATAGTAGGTTTGCGTTGAAATTTCTTAACCCAAATTTGTCCGATATGATATCCCTCATCTTTACAATGTTGTTGTTCAGATTATTTCTAAATGGAAACACTAGAAAGGTTTAAACTAAGCTTTGCTAAATAAAACAGGTTGGATGATCCACTAATGTGGGGATTCAAGGGTTTTCCTACAATGAATGCAAAGTTAGCAAGGTGGGTGCTAGCAGCTGAGGATATATGTTTCAAAAATGCATTTTATTCTTACTTATTTCGACTTGGTAAGACATATTCTCTACCAATTGATAGTTTCTTGTATTTCTATATTCATGCTATAGAAAATACTAACTCTCTTTCATTTACTATCTAAATGATTCATCGTTTCTCTTGAAGAAATGATTATATGGAAACATGGTACCAATACTATGATTTGATTGTTTTCTCTTAAGCATTCCCTTTGTGGCGAGTTCTGTACAATGTGTTTTGTCTCCATGAAGAAGTCTGGCATTTTTACTGTGAATTTTCTACCATATTAATGAGATTTATATTGTTTACATAGAATTAACATTAGTAAATGCAATTCTTCATTATATTCTGAGCAAATTCAAGAGAGAACTCCTTTGTTGGACTCATAAAACAAAATTGGAAGCTCTGCCATAAAGGCTTGGGCCCTATTTCAATTTCTTACGTATTTGAATTTTAAAGTTGGAAATGCTACCTCACTGGAGTAGGCTTTATGGAATGATTAACTTACTGAAAGCATTGCACCTCAATTTTATGCATTTGTTTCTTATAAATGGTGGGACAACATTTCAGTTTAGAAAAATTCTGTATAGTTCTTTCTTTTAGGAATCACATTTCTTTCAGATATGAACTTTAGAGTAGCTAATGATTGTGATAGGAAATAAAGAAAATACATAATTTTGCTGCAGAAATCAGCAAAACCAGCATGCTTCCAAGCAGTTTTTGAGATAAAAACAGAGAAATAATAGAAGAAAAACTTTTAATTTGATAGTAGATGAAAGAACATAGCAAGATACAGTTAGATCTTCAATTGAGGATGAAGATCTTGCTCTCTCAATCTCTAGCTGGAGGCTAGAGCCCAAGTAAACCCAGAAGAAAACATCAAATTCAGCAAAATCATCATCCTAACCCTAGAACATAAAATACTACTTCAAACAAAAACAAACAATAATTCCCTAAACAACCCATTGAATTTGAATTTTTCTTTCCAAATCCTTCTTAACACGCCAATTAAGAGGGCTGGTCCCCCCCCCCACGTAAGGAGGGCGGCCCCCCCCCCCCCCCCCCCCGCATTAGGCTGGTATGTTCTACCTGAAATAGACCAGAACCGGTCTAGGTAGGACTGGTTCAGCCGGCTCCTCAAGAGCCGGTCTAACAATGCCCCCCTCCCAAAGACTCTCTTTGTCCTCAAGGTGAAATGATGGGAATTGGGTCTTCAATCTCTCATATGGCTCCAAAGTGGTGTCATAATCTTGGAGGTTCTTTGATGTTGGCAAAGCTAGAATTTTTTTCCCTTGCTTGTTGGCTATATGGGTATTTAATCTTGGGCTATTATTTCCTTGATGGGCTTGACCAATATTTCTCTATATGTCTTGGCTGTTTGATGTTCTATGCTTGATATGAATTGCTTGGTGGCTGGTTGGAATTCCTGAGTTTCTATGCATATTTTGGTTTTTCCACTACTTGGAAACTCTGTTTTTTTGATTCCCAGCTGCTTGTCGTTCCCTTCCTCTATGTTTTATCTAAGTCTTTTGGAAAATCTGCTTGACTTGGTTGTTTCTGGACTTTGGTTCCCTGTGCTGGCCGTTTCCCTCCTCTATGTTATTTCCTAAGTTTTGTGTTGGCTCCTATTGGTTGCTTGGGGGCACATTTATGTGGGCTGTTAGGTGCTTTTTCTCCTATAAAAGGGGCTGTTTTGGTTGCTTGAGAAGGATAATTTTTGGAGATGAATATTTGGAATCTTTAACATGTGAGTTTCTTATAGCTTGCGAGCTATAGTCTCACGCAGGCTTCCTGGTGCTGGTCCCTTGGGAGCTAAGAAAATGGTGGTCATCCTGTACGACCCTCATAAGCTGCTGCCCTTGGCTCCTCACTCCAAATACTTCTGGTCCTCCACCAACTGTGCCAGCTCCATGGCCTCTCCTATGTTACATGGGCTCATCACTCTAACAACCGCTCGGATCTCGGGCTTGAGCCCCTTCATGAAATTCTCCTTTAACATCTTCTCGGAAAGTCGATCCAGTCGGCTAGCTATGTACTCAAATATGTCGCGGTGCTCTGCTACAGATCCCTCATACGTTAGGACAAAGAACTGCTCATAGAAGTCCCCTCCCGACTGGTTCGGAAACATTCTAGTAAGCAATCCTCGAACTCCCTCCAGCTCCGAATAGGTCACCTCATGTCTCTCCTTTGGTACCACACCAATGCCTTTCCATCCAAGCATAGACTGGCCGCCATCAATTTCTTCTCCTCCGTCAACCCGTTTACAATGAAATACCTTTCTACCATGTAGATCCACCAATGTGCATCATTCGCTTCAAAAATTGGCATCTTCAGTTTCTGAACCTTCGGCATCTTCAATTTCCAAACCTTCAGATCCCCACATTTCCTCTGATTCCTTCATAATCTCCCCTTCCCCAATTGGGTGGCCCTCCCCAAGTGTTCCGATTCTCCCTCGCACGTTCATACCCAAATCCTTCTTCGAATTCCCCTATCCTTCCTTCAAACTCAGCTCCTCGGCGGCCATGATCTCCCTCCCTTATTTCCCAATCAACACCCCTTTGATATTTTCCCACATATCCACGCCTCTACCCATACCTACCTCATCTATCCTCCCTCTGGAAAGACTCTAGATGGGATCTTCTTCCTTCTCCCTCTACGATCTCAACCTCAGTTTTGTCCCTACGAATTTCAGAATAGTATTTTTTCCTTTTGACCCTCTCGCCTTTGATGTTGCCGTTTGGTTGTGGAGATCCAACATCTTCTTCACCATGTCACGTAAGTCAGATAATTGCTCTTCTATTGTGGAAATTCTATCCTCCACTGTCACCATTGCCTTAATGTGTTTCATCTCCTCCTCAAGGTGTTCCTCCAACGTATCCACCTTCTTGGCCGCCATTGATACACGGGTTTTTGTAAGACTCAAAAATCAGTATTTCTTCCCAAAAAACAGCCCTGCCAATGGTTTGTATAGGAAATAATTATGTAGGAAACCGCCAAAACCGCCCCCAAACAGCCTCGGAAAGCGGCTATGATACCAATTTGATAGGAAATAAAAGAAAATACAAAATTTGCTGCAGAAATAAGCAAAACCCGCACACTTCCAAGCACTTTTTGAGATAAAAATAGAGAAATAACGGAAGGAAAACTTTTAATTTTTAGATGAAAGAAAATAGAAAGATACAGTTGAATCTTCAATTGGAGAGGAAGATATTGCTCTCCCAATCTCCAGGCGAAGATTAGAGCCCAAGCAAAATCAGAAGAAAACACCAAATTCAGCAAAAATCATCATCCTAATCCTAGAACAAAAAATACTACTTAAAGCAAAAACAAACAACAATTCCCTAAACAACTCCTAGAATTTGAATTTTCCCTCCCAAATCCTTCTTAATTAAAGCCATAACACCCCAATTAAGAGGGTTGGGCCTCACCATTGTCAAAAATGGGGGGGGGCCGCCCCCCCCCTTTCCCCCCCCCCCCCCCCCATCAGGCGGGTCTATTCCGCCTACAATTGACTCGAATTGGTCCTCGGTTGAGGTGGGACCGGTTCAGTAGGCTCGTCAAGAGCTGGTCTGACAGATTGCTACATGACCAATTGTGTTTGCAGAATTTGAAGGAATATATTTTATAATATTTATGATTATAGTTTTGGTTTTGATGGTATGAGCAATCAACAATACCAATCAACTAGTAAGATTTTTTTAAGATTTAAATGAGAATTTGACTCTTATTAGGACACTAGAGAAAAAAAAAATCATGTAGCCAACCCAACATAGTGGAATAAAGACTTGATATTATTGTTGTTGTATAATTCTTGGTCCTGAAGGTATGTGTGGTCAACAATACCAATCAACTAGTAAGATTTTTTATGTTAAACGAAGACTATCTTATTTCATTATCTTCAAATCAGCTTAAGTAAGAAAAAATGATTTGCACTTACATATATAGATTTTTTGTTGTCTTTTCATTTTAAGAAAAGCTTTTATGAATCATTTAGCTCTTCATTTGCTTTATGATTTATTATTTGAGACTCTTGAAGCTTGATAACCATGAGTAATTAGGTTTAACCTTTTATCGGAAATTGATCTAATTTAAAACAAACACCAATGAATATCGCAAGATAGTTTGAACGGTAAAGAAGGAATTGCAGATTTTACCAAATATGAAATGGAACATGATTATTTACATTATCCTTATGCTTATTCCTGCAGTGCTGTTAAAATCTAAGAGCCCTTTATTGCTTTCTTGTTCATGCCTGATGGAACTTTAGGGTAATTTGTGTGTTTGCACCTCTTTCAATAATCGTAATTGCTTGATATATAGAACTACAAATTTTACTCTTATTTTACTATAGGATGACTGATCTTTATGATTCTTTACACCATCCTTGTGCTTAGTCATGAAAGCTGAAGTATAGGAACTCTTAATTTATTTTTTGTTTATTCCTGATAGAGCTTGTGAACATGGGAAAAACATTATATCTTTGCAGCACCTTCGTTTATCATAATTTGCTTGATTTTTAAAACTGCGAACTTCACTTTTTTTTTTCTCTTACCATGGATTGACTAACTTTTTGCGAGGGAAGGAATCCTGATGATCTTCTGGTGTGGATGTTATAGTCGGTTTCTCATACCATGGATTTGGCATTTTCTTTTGCTAAACTTAGACGCCAATTGTTACATTTGGCTGCAATCGTTACTTCATTTTCTCAGTATGCCTCTGATGTAGGAAAATGCATACCAATAACAAGAGGAGGAGGAATCTATCAAGAAAATATGAATGAGGCTCTTGATGTCTTAACCAATGGAGGCTGGGTAGGCCCTTCGATCACCTGCTGCTTTTCAATTCAAGTTTTAAGGCTTTGTTTGAGACGGCTTTTTTATTGTTTCTTAAAACGGAGTTTTAGTAAAAAATTAAAATTTTTTAACTAAAATTCCATTTTAAAAAGTAATGACCCAAACGAAGCCACATAACCCGTTTTCTTGCCTTGGGTTGAGAGCACATTTTATAAAGTATAGATGCAAATTTTGATCATTCAATTTTGAAAGCCATTATCTATTTTCAAGGTACAGTTGCATACCTTTCCAGAAGGTAAAATTTGTCAAGAGAGTGTACCTATTAGACGTTTAAAATGGGGAACTGCCAGTTTGATTGCTCGGGCACCTGTAACCCCATTAGTTCTGCCAATCGTCCACTGTGGTTTTGAAAAGGTATGTAAAAATTGCAATTATTTCTTCGGTATTTTCTTCCATCTAATTATTTCTAATTCTTTTAGTTTTCAGTATTATACCTCGTCATTTTATTGAGAGTAAGGTCATAACTGACAATGATGACAAACTTGTGGTTATATACTACAATTGTATAACTGTCTTCTACATTTTATTGCTCTTGCCCTGGTCGCAATAGTTAGCTTAACACCAAAAAGTGGTAAACCTTGGTTAGTTTCTTTGTGTTCTTTATTGTTAGAGAAACTTGCATGTTTATTACATATCTTTGACATGAAATTGAAGTCTGGGAATGTCTAGCTCAATGCTATTGTAACAATATTCTTCATAAAATAATGTCGTTTGCATAATAGCCTCAGGCTTCGTTTGATTCTTTCTCTCCTTTAGTAAAAGGTAGTTTTAAAAACAATGGTTAAGTGAATGGAGTTTTCTGACGGAGAAGCAAATATCAAAAAGCTTCTCAAAATAGTAGAAAAATGAAGTTTCCCTAAAAAGCATTTCTATAGAAGCGTCCCATCCAAACAGTGTCAAAAAAAAAAAAAAATCTACTTTTCTAAACAGAAAAGGAAAAAAAAAACACCAAAACAAACGAGGCCTTAGTGGTGGTTTGATTTCCTGACATAAGCTATGCAATATTTTGTGATTAACAAATGCTAGTTGTTTGATTTGATGACATTTTTAAATAATATTTTCATTTATGTCAGGTCATCTTATGATTGAAATAAATGATAATACAAAGCAAGATTTTAATCTCTGTTGATCATTCTAGATGACATGATATTGTTAATATTTAAAGATTTCCCTAAATTAGGCAACCGATATCCACTAATAGCATAAAACTGCATGCAGATCTAAAACAACCAAACCTTCTTTTATTCTAATCTAGCAATTATGTAAAAATTGCTTCTGCCATATCTTTGTTGGCCAGAAAATCAAAGAGAAAATAGAGAGAACACATGAAATACTCATCTTCAACTACCGTAGGAAGAAGATGCTTACACCTCAATAAAAGAAAATATTTTGTTTAGTCAAGATTTAGCAGTAGGTAGCAACTCTTTCTATTAAACTATGTCGTTCCACCACATTAGCTATACAATTCCTAATTGTTAACCATTTGTTGAATCATCAGGTAATGCCTGAGAAATATAAGTTCGACAGAAGGCCTCTATTCCCTCTCATCAACAGAAATATAAAAATTATCGTTGGGGAGCCCTTAGAATTTGATATTCAAAGCTTGAGACAGAAAGCCAAAACCATGCCCTGTGAAGCTTCCTCTGGGTCTCTTGGGTGGCCCAATAGCTCACCAGATGGCCTTAGTGTCGGAGCTCAGAGATGGCTCTATGCCAATATCTCAGATCAGATTAGAAATGTTATGGAGAAGCTGCGATGCTTTGGGATGGCAGCAAAGAACCTGCACGTATAGGTACTTTCTGAATGGCTTTCTCTTAATTGGTTTAGGAACTAGGATTTAGGTAAGATGACTTGTTTTTGTTTTTTAGTTTTGCTGTTTGATTTTTCATTTATGGCACAGATTCTTCATTTGGTGAATAATTAAGTTCATTAGGTTTAATCAGGAATTTGCTTATGAGTCTATGATTGCAGTAATCCATTTTTAGGTCTGCGCTTTAGCTGGAATTTATAAATCATTTATATTTCAAAGCATTATAAGGATGGTATTTGTCATAGCTAGGGGTGTAAGTGAGTCAAGCCGACTTTTGAGCCGGCTCAGGCTCAACTTAATAAATGACTCTTGAGCTAGAGAAATTATTCTGTGCGGACAATGGACAACGTCTGGAGACCAACCAAGACGCGCCATGTCATTTTTTTACTCGGTATTGGTGCTCGGTAACACTGTGTACTAGGTGATGTTGCGTGTTCTGGTTGGTCTCCGGACCGTCCAGTGTCCGCACAGAATCATCTTCATGAGTTTAGTTCGATCTAATGTACTTATTGAGTTTTTTTTTTTTTTAATTTTATTATTTTTTAATTTTATTTATGATCTTCTATATAAGAAATTAAATTTTGCATAAATTAAGTTTTTATTTAATTTTATGATGATCTTATTAGTTGCATGAAGTTGTGGGCCACCATCATACAAGATTATCACATCACAAAGAAAATAATGAAAAATATTTGTGTTCGTATGTTCCCATGGAAATTTTTGTTTTTTGAATTTAATTTTAGATGATGTAATTTGTAAATCATTGATATATCGTTTATCCTAAAATAAATTAAAAAATTGTTGAAAAAATTAAGACTTTGTTTGGAACAATTTTTTTACTGCTTTTAAAATAATTTTTTAATATTTTTTTTTTTGGACGAGAATTTTTTGTATTAGCAAGCAATAAGAAGCTTCTGTTCCTAAAGAAGACTAATTTGGGCTGAAAATACTATTTTTTATTCTTCAAATGAATTTCTAGAATATTTTCATGGTCTTCACGGTTCCATTTCAACCTAGCCTTGAAGTCTTTGGTTTATTGAGGAAAAAAATTTTAGCTTTTAGTTGGCAAAACTAGGGATGGTTGTTAGAGATTTATATGAACTTTCTTGATTCATTTAATTCTATAGTATTATAGTAAAATAAAAAAAGTGCAAAATTCAATAATTTAGGCAAAAATACAACCATGTAAGCATATGCCACTTTTGCAATTTTTATTTTATTTGGGGGATAATTTACATAGCATCCTTCCATCTTTCTCATTATATGTTGTTAAGAGAGAGGTTATGGGACATTATTGGGTTGTTATAGCTTGATTGGCATTGTTGCTCATCGCTAGTTTTCACGAGTTTGTTGGAATGTCCTCTTAGAAAACTCCTATCACGAGCTTTCATACGAATTAGATCGTAGTGAAGATCGTTCATATATGTGTAGTACATCTGATAAAATTTTAGTTTTTCATAGTTTTTGTGAGCTTTATAGAACTACAGGTCTTGGTTTTATGAGCTATTCATCATGAGTGATTGCTCCTTTGGAGATAAGTATTTTGAGATAATAATAATGATATATTGTTGTGATTTTTTAATGTCCCCAATTTTGATTCATGAACATTCTTAGAATATTCATGTTAATCTGACAATCAAAATTTTAGCTCGTAACCTTCTTTGGATTTAAGGGGCAGAGATCAACATGACATTTTTTATTTGTTGATTGAAGATTCACTGAGGAAGATCATTTTTGAACCATTGCTATCACTTGTTGCCAACCATTTAGGCTTCCTCCATCTTGTGTGTTGCTCATCTAGATAGCTTAAGGGAAAATTTGCATTACTACATTTCAATCGTGAGGAGGTGTGATGTAGATTTTTAATCGCTAATAGAAAAGGGATATATTTTGGTGCATTTTGAATAAGGGCAAGAATGATCTTCTGTAAAATTTAAAAATAAAAGAAAACCTTGAACTCCTGAACCATAGGAGAAGTAAATCCTTAAACTCCTGCACCATAGGAGAAGTTTGGAACATTGACCACAAGTTGAAGTTCTTATTCAAATGCTCTTATTATTGGATCCAAACTTCCTCTACATGTAGAGGAGAATCTTGACTACCCTTAGTCACCTCCTCGACTATCCTTATATGCCTTCTTTAGGTTGCACCATCTTCTTTAAAAAGGGGACTATTTTGATTTCCCTTAGTCACCTTTATGCACTTCTTGTGATGCCTCACTTGCCATAGATCATTTCATTTCCATATCAAGAAGAGGATCATCTTATTCACTATGAATCACCTTTATGATGTTCTTAGAGTCCCTCGCCTTTCATATTCAAGTCGTTCCATCTCCACCTTAACGAGCATTTTTGTGAATACCTTCAATCATCTATGCCTTTTATGACCTTCACAACCTTCCTATGTTGCCTCTTCTACCTCCCTAAGTTGTGCTAAATTACACCTCTAAAATGAGGGCCATTCTTATTACTCTCAATCACCTTCATGTCCTTCTTGCATCGCCTCACATGCCAACTTCAAGTCATGACACTCACCTCTAAAAGGAACACCTTGATTGCCTTTGCTCACCCCCAATACCTAATTGAGTTAACGTGCAAGTTACCTTTAGGTTGTGCTATCTTTACATCTAGTAGGACCACCATAATTTACCTTAGTCATCTTCGTAACCTTCTTATGCCAACTCACCCATCTCCTTTAGGTAGTGCCATTCCTTGTGATATTATTTCTACCTCTAGACAATGACCATTTTGACTACTTTGGGTATTTCCATAGCCTTCCTATGCCACATAACTTATCACTTTCAAGGCATGTTATTTCCATTGACATAAAGGCTATCATACTCTAGATTTATATTGGAGGAATTATATCTGTCTTTCATTTTAAACATTTAAGTAAAGCTTACCAATAAATAATGGAAAGAAATATGATTGTATTTTTGTCTTGTCCAAAGCCTCATATCATAGGATCCTTACCCTTTCCTATGTAAAACCACATAATGAGAATATATCCCATTAAGTAACCAAAATCTTACAATTGAAATCAATGAAAGATTAAAGAGAACAATATGGTATAAATCACATAAAAAATATATCCATCAATATCCATAATAATTATTTATATAAATTTATCTTTCTATAGTTCATCACATCTCAATTCATTATATAATTAGCCACAATATCACTAACAGTCAACATTACTAATACAATAATAATATTAGTATCATGATAAATAACATTAAATAATATTAATGATATTAAACATTATTAGTGTCAGTCATAATATCAATACAATATTCGTAATAGTGTAAGTATCAGTATTCAGATATTCAATGAGTGTATCTTAAAGGTATCTTGCTCCTACACGTATGGCTCCCACCCCTTATAACTCTTAATAATTAAAGGACTCCTTATAACACCCTTTGAATTACGTGAATCAGTCACTCCGACTTCTTATAACTCCTAATCAATCTCCAGCTCTTTGTGACTCCGATTAGTGAATCATATGTATCAGTAGGGTGTCATGTGAAGTTATCATATTATATATTTGATATCATTCAACACTTCATTTAAAATGCAATAAAATAATATCAAATCATTTAAAATGATCAAATCTATAACATATCCAATTTTGTATGGTGAAAGCTTATGAAATTTGAAGATAATATATTTTTGACAAATTTAGGAGTGATAAAATTTGTATAAATTAAAATAATTAAAAACAAAAGTAAGAGAATAGTCAGTTACAACGAATAGAACAAAATCTATAACAGGAATGACTGACTTATGATCCAAAGACCTTTCTCTCTCCTCAATTTTAATTATTTTAAAAATTAACATTTTCAAATTTTCATTGTTTAATTTATTTTGCCAAATCCTCTTTCAAATATGAAAATTTAAAATAAAATCTTAAACCAAATTTTATTTATTTATTAAATTCTGCAATGTAAATACATGAATTTATTAAATAATTTCTTACATAAATAAAACTTTATAAATAATAGAAATTTTCTAAAACTGTTACTCCTTTCTTCTGTTTTTCCCGGTTTTCATCGCCCATTTTATTAGCCGTTGAAACTGAGCCCCCCGCCGCCACTTTATGCCGCCCACCGGAAATTTTACTGCCCATTTCACAGTATCCCTTCTCTCTCTTCCAACCTCCCACTGAAAATTCCACTTCCCATTTCGCAGTATCCCTTCTCTCTCTCTTCCTCTGTTGCTATCTCTCTTCCAAAATCTATATAGACTCTGAAGAAATCTCCCCTCAAATTCCTACAATCACTTCTATCTTCAACCGCCAATTAAATCTACCACTTCGATGAAAAAATTCCCTTCAAAATCTGGCTGCGGCGGCCCCTCCTTCCTCTCCAAAATCCGCGCCGCTCTCTCTCCGAAAAATCTCAAGAATCCTCCTCCCCTTCCCCAACCACCCTGTTTCTCGCCTCCGCATGCCGAATTCCAGCAAGTCTTTCGCTACTTCGACAAGGACGGAGACTGCAAGATTTCCGCTTTTGAGCTCTGCAGCTCCATGGGAAGCGCCTTTAACGAGCAGCTGTTACAGGCCGAGCTGATTGAGTTAGTCGAATCGTCCGATTCCGACGGAGATGGAAAATTGGGGTATGAGGATTTCTTGAAATTGGTGGAAGTGGAGGAGGAGGAGAAAGGGAGGAGTTTGAGGGAAGCGTTTGTGGCGTATGAGATGGAAGGAAAGGGGTTTATCACGGCGAGGAGCTTGAAGAGGGCGCTTCAACGGCTCGGGGAGGAGAGGACTGTGGAGGACTGCAAGAATATGATTAAAAGGTTTGATCTTGATGAAGATGGTGTGATTAGTTTTGCAGAGTTTCAGGTTATGATGTTGTGAACGTAAATAAGCACAAGATGTATAGCTCAGATGAAATTTTATTTTGTTTTTGGAAGTTTGATGGGTTGTTTTTACTCTTTTGATTTGTTGAATCCTTTGCTTGGTGGTTGGATTTAATCCAATGTATGTAAATATATCCAATGAAAAAGAGAGGAAAAAAGTTAGCCAAATGTGGAATAGCTTCATATAGAATGGATGAATAAGTAGGTAAATTTGAGTTTATATTATTAGTAGCTCATTATTTGATTTGATGAGATTAAATATTGTGTATTCTAGTCTAATGATTTGCTAATTGTATTTACAAATATATCTAGTAATAGCAACTATCATATCAACTGAGGCTTAGGTTGGTTGGTAGGCGAGCACGGTTTAATGTTTAAAATATCATTTCAATTAGATTATTAACCTCATGATGATTGTGGTGTTGTAATTGCCTAAAAATCATTATAATAAAGATTTAAAAATAGATTGAGATGGGATAAATTACCTAAAGAATAATATAACAAAGATTTTTTTTTTTAGAGGGGGCAATTACCCCCCGACCTAAAGGGGTTCCGCGCCTAACATTAATAGACTCATTTAGCTGACCTCAGATGGTGGGATAAATGCTTAATAATGTTGTTGTTGATGTTGTAGAACTCAGATAAAAGTATTAGCCATGTTAATGTTATTGACCCTCAAGACTTGGTTTATCACGTGGGTGACAACTCTGGGTTGGATCTGCGTGTGCATATTGATTGGCTTCAGTCGTCTGATGATTTTGAATATGTTTCCTCCTTTGAGTCTGATGGGGTTGAGGATCCAGGGAACTCTTTTGCATTGCTGCAGGACACTAAGGTTGTTTCTAGTGCTTCTCGTGGAAGGGCTCGTGGAAGGGGTAGACGAGGAAGATAATTTCTGTGGGTGGTGTTGGGTTTTTGCTTCCTGCCTAGTTCATGGTGTCTTTATGTTGGCATGTTTCTTGGCAACCTTTGGTGGAGATCCTCTGCTCGGTTGGGATGGTTGCTTCTCGTTTGCTTCTTCACCAAATTGGATGGTCTGAGCATGATTTTTTGGGAAGCTGGTAGTCTCGGCTGAATACTGAGCCCCCGAGAGTGGTTTTCCCATGTAATTTCTTATTTTTCCTTGGCATCTACTCTTTCTGCTCTTGTACTTTTGTTTCTTTGCTCTTGTAATCCTTTTGGGTATTAATATAATATAAGTTTTTGTTAAAAAAAAAAAAAAATTAGCCAAGTTTAGATCAAATAAGATTGGATTGAGCCAAATTTTAACTATTATTGACTCGGCTCGAGATCGGATCGAGCATGAACAGTTCTTGACATAAGCCTTTTAAGATAGAAATGAAAATTTCAATTTGGATATATATCCATAACGACTTTGTATGTATATTTTTAATCAAACTAATTCAAAGTTTTCAGGAGCATCTCGCTTAGCAGCCAAGGCGTCCTCCACCTGAACCAGGTGAAGACCGGTCGGATCGGATCAACCAACTGCAAACAAGTTCAATTTATTAATCGTCTTTATAACTCGTTAAGATTTCGTTTGGAACATTTTTCTAATTATTTTCTAAAATAATTTTTTTGTATCTAAAATAATTTTGTACAAAAAAATTGATTTAAAAAATAGTAAAAAAAACTGTTTCAAATGAACCCTAATTCACTCTGCATAAAATAATAAAACTCATTTTATTATCTGATTAATAAAAAAAAAAAATTCAAAGATTCTGGTCAATGATTTTTACAATTTTATTCGCTTTCCTCACTCTCAAATCCTTCAAACCAAAGTTTGTGAAAGAAGATCAATGCAAATTAAGAATCCATTCTAAACCTCTGTTCGTTTGAAAATTTTGAGAGGGAGAACAAATACAAATAATTTCATAATTTTATACGAATTATTTAGTTTCCATAATGTAAAAGAAGATCAATGTAAATTAAATATCCATCTACCGCCAACCGCCGCCATCCACCGCTGGCCGCCATTCACTGCAATAACTGTTGGCCGCCATTAATGGTTGGGTGCTCTGCTGCTATTAACCAAATTAATTTTGATTCTAGGGTTGTTTGGATTGAAGTAAATGGGATATATAAAGTATTCTTAATATAAGGGTTTTAAAAATATTAATGTTTAACCGATGTATAAAAGAAATTCAGAGTAAAATTATACTAGTATATATTCTCTACAATTACTGCCACAAGCAGCCGCCAATCACCACCTTCATCGCAATTATTACGTCCTCTGACCTGACGTAGAGGTACGTTCGGCCACCAATAACATGTCGCCACGTGCTCTTACTCTTTACCGCGCGGCCCGACGACTTGACCCGGAGCGGAACCCGGGAATGCTATGTTCGCGATTTTCTCGGTATTGCTCGGTATTTGCTCGGTATTTCTTTGCAAAAACGAGAAATACCGCTCTGTGAAGACCAAAACTATACAAATACCGAGTTGTACAGAGCCTCCAAATGTCCAACGAACGGTGCACAATCGAAGTGTTCAATATCGGTCGTCCATTCAAACCACTTCCTATTCGCCCATGATCTCACACCTATTTACGAGCTATGCCACTCCAGAAAAACTATAAATAGAGCCCTCATTCTACACAAAGGGTAGGGAAGTGAAGAGAGAGAAGAAGAAGAGAAGGAGGAGAAGGAAGAAGCTCCTCCTCGACCACCGCCGGAGCTCTTCCCGCCGCCTGAAGACGCCGGAACTCTCATTTGTAACTGCAAATGGGCGAGGCCCCTCATTTGCAACTGGGTGAAACCCCGTGTAACTCTCATTTGCAACTGGGCGAGGCCCCGTGATTTTTTCCCTCTTTCGGGTTTTCCACGTAAAAACTTTGGTGTTCACTTCTCTTTTCTGCTTGTGTGCTGAATACTCGTACAATGCTAGGACGCAAATTTACAAACTCTACCGCCGCGTATATTCTAACACGCAACAATAATAAAGTTTTTTTTTAAATATTTTTTTTTAGAGGGGACAATTTCCTCCTGACCTAATGGGGCTTCCGCCTCTGACATTAATAGACTCATTTAGCTGACCTCATGTGATGGGATAAATGCTTAATAATGTTATTGTTGTTGTATAACTCGGATAAAAGAATTAGCCAAATTTAGATCAAATAAGATTGGATTGAGCCGAATTTTAACAATTATTGACTCGGCTCGAGATCGGATCGAGTGACTCAGCCGATCTTATCATCATGAACAGTTCTTGCCATAAGACATTTAAGATAGAAATGAAAATTTCAATTTGGATATATATCCATAACGACTTTGTATGTATATTCTTAACCAAACTAATTCAAAGTTTTCAGGAGCATCTCCCTTAGCAGCCAAGGCGTCCTCCACCTGAACCAGGTGAAGACCTGATCGGATCGGATCAACCAACTGCAAAGAAGTTCAATTTATTAATCGTCTTTATAACTCGCCATTCACTGCAATAACTGTTTGACGCCATTAATGGTCGGGTGCCCTGCTGCTGTTAACCAATTTAATTTTGATTCTAGAGTTGTTTGGATTGAAGTAAATGGGATATATAAAGTATTCTTACTATAAGGATTTTAAAAATATTAATGTTTAACCGATGTATAAAAGAAATTCAGAGTAAAATTCTACTAGTATATATTTTCTACTATTACTGCCACAAGCAGCCGCCAATCACCACCTTCATCGCAAGGCCACTGAATACTATCGCTAGCAGCCACCCCCGTTATTACCATCGTCAGTCCCTTGTTGTTGACTAATGCGGCCACCACCGGCTGCTACCAATGACATTCATCGCCTCTGTCGTTGCCATCCACCACAACTGCCAGTCTGTCTGCCCTTCTCCCCAACCGCTCGCCGTCGGAAGCCGTTGCTACCAACCAAGATTGATTGTCACCTCTCGGCTCTTGCTACCTTCCCCCGCCACTGGCCATTACCAATTTTTGCTTTAATTAGGGAGATTTACATACATACCACTTAATACTATGCTATTTACATATTTAACACCTAAAACTTTAATATTACATACATACCACCCATAGTTCATTTTCATATCAAATATGAGTGGTAGAAATGAAATATATGAGTGGTAGAAAAGAAATGTAAGTGGTATATTTGATATTAAAATAATATATGATAGTATTCATGTAATATTAAAGTTTTAGGTGTTAAATATGTAAATAAGATGTTATAAAGTGGTATGTATGTAAATTTCCCTTTATTTTAATGCAACCCAAGTGAAAAAATAATTTGATATATTTATTTTATGCTCATCTAAAAGATTCTAAATATTTTAAATACATTATTATACTCTTATACTACATTTTATTTTATTATGCATTTCTTTTCAACAAAATAAATGCCCATTAAATATAAAATATATATTTCTATACTAATATGTATTACAGGTGTTCTTCGTAGACAGGTGTCAACTTATCTCTGAGTTGCAATAAAATTTATAAGAAAAATTACGATAATGGCAAACCTTATTTGTTGTCTGCGATAGGCTATTAGCATCCACTCCGTAAGGAAGATTGAATCTGTCCCATATTTATTTATTTATTTATTTTTTCGTTCCAGATAGGTCTGAGAAAAAGATTTTAATCGGTCAATTAAATATGTAATGAAAGACATTTATGGAGCAAATTGGGAATTTCGCAAGTTTTTAAATATATTTTTTAATCGGACTATCTGACTTAGTTGCGAAGGCATCCTCTACCTGAACCAGATGAAGACTGGATCGGATCAACTAGAAAAACAGATCATCCCGGTTAGGGGATAACCCGGCCGACCTAGCATGCAACCCACACCAATTTATACGGGCCAACACTTAAGGCTTTCACGAAACGCCGAGGGGATTCGAACTTGGTACCTAGCCTTTGGCCAGCCAGTTCTCCACCACCAGGCCACCCCGCGATGGGTGGATCGGATCAACTAATTGTGGACGCGTATGGCTCATAAATTCTCTCATCATAGAATTGAAAACTAATTTCTAGATTAGAATGAGATTGTCCATTAAAGAGTAGATTGGGAGAAAAAGATTCAAATAAATTTGGAATCAAGGTTCGAGTTTGAGC